ACACCTATTATATGTAACAGTTTTATAGAAATTTGGAGGAGAATGAGATTACTAGTATGGTGTGTCCCTGCAAACTTTGTTTTTTTGAGACAGGATCTCATTCTGTTGCCAAGGCTGAAGTGCAGTGGTGAGATCTTGCCTCACTGCAACCTCCGCCTCCTGACTTAAGCGATTCTCGTGCCTCCGCCTCCCAAGTAGTTAGATTACAGGCATGCACCACCACACCTGGCTAATTTTTGTGTTTTTTAGTAGAGACAGGGTTTCACTATATTGCCTAGGCTGATCTCGAACTCCTGAGCTCAAGTAACCTGCCTGCCTTGGCCTGCCAAAGTGCTGGGATCATAGATGTGAGCCACTGCCCTGACCAGTTCATGACACTTCATAGAGAAGATGGGATTTGACTTACCCTTTGAAGGACAGTATAGATTTATATAAGCAGAGAGAAACTGGAAGTACATTCTTATTGGAAGAGAGTAGGGATGAGTGTTTGGAGAATCACTGGAAGATAGCTTTGATTGAGCTGGATGGAGTATGTTGAATAATGAGTGACAAGTAGAAGATCAGGGTGGATCTGGATTAGTGGATCTTAACTAAAGGTTCACATCAATAACCTAAGACCCTTCTAAGTGCAAAAGGGGGGCACCTTTCCAAATCTGCTGACCCAATAATGGGAATGGGGGTGGAATGGGGCCCAGGTACAAGTATTTGATGGGAATGGGGGCAGAATGATAAAAGGATGAGTCAACTAAGATACTGTGATTTCTATTCTGAGGTTCCAGGAGAGTGGTGAACTTCCAGTAATTGATTTAGGAGAGAATGTAATAACTTCAGTTTTGGAGAATTTTTTTGGGGAGTGCATGTTGTAGACATTTAATTTTCTTTAAAAAATTAAAAAAATATTTATAGAGGTGAGTTCCAACTATGTTGTCCAGGGTGGTCTTGAACTCCGGGTCTCAAGCAGTCTTCCTGCTTTGGCCTCCCAAAGTGTCGGGATTATATGCATGAGCTACTGTGCCCAGCTATATTATTTTTTAATGTCCTGCTTGTTTTGAAATAAGATCTATGGTGAAACAAATAATAGACTAAATGGAATAATTGATGTCCAGTTAGAAACAACCAGTTGGCAGTTGGAGATATGAGGGCACAGGAAAAATATCAAGATGAAGATTTGGGTGTCACTTGTGAAAAGTTGTTACTGAACAAACCCATGAGAGGACTTCTAAAGGAGGAGGCCTGTGGTGGGAGGAGGAAGATAATGGACGTTGTTAGAGGAATTGTAATAATGTAGGGTTATGATGCCAAGGGAACATAGAGTGAAATTGGTATTTAATCAGACAAATATGATTAAAACTGAGAAATCAGATATGTCATAGGCTAGTAACTTTTAATTTGTTTTTGTGTGTGTGTACAATTAAAGAGAGAGAAATTGGAAAAAAGAAGCTGTGTGAAAGGGGCTGTTAATTTTGAAACATTGAAACAAGGAAATGCCTCACAGACCAGCTCTGATTTAATATATATTTTTCATTGTGTACTTAGCTTTTCTCCATATTTGTCTGTTCATATTCTCTCTCTTTTTTTTTTTTTTTAATCCCTCATCTCTTTCTTTCTTCAGAGGTTTGTTTTTGGAGTGGGAGGCATGGTGGGGAGAGTTAAGGAATCAGTATTCATATTCTTTTGCAGCCAAAAGTGATTTCCAAATACAGTATTGGGTAATTCTGAGAGAGTCTTGGCAGGCAGATAGGAGAGAATGGAAGTTCTCTTAGGTGTAAGTGACCCACCTGTGTGTAAAATTAGTACACTTGTTTCAGTGGTTTTGAAAAGAAGTCATAGGAGGTTCCTCATAGTATGGGAGACATGCTTCTTTTGAAATATGCACAAATAATATATGTATTAAATGATTCTTTTCATGTTTTTATATTGCTGTGAGCTTTGGTATATTCATGTTCTAATGATACTTTATTTTTCTAGGGTGCAAAAAAGAGTGCTATTGGTCAGCGCATTGTGGCAACGCTACCATATATCAAGCAAGAAGTTCCCATCATTATTGTGTTCAGAGCATTAGGTTTTGTGTCTGACAGAGATATTTTAGAACACATTATTTATGATTTTGAAGATCCAGAGATGATGGAAATGGTAATGTGAAAGCAAAATGTATTCAGAGCTTTATAAGAAATTTAGAGTTACTGATCGTTGCTAACCTTAAAACATAGTAGAAAGCTGTTCTGAATAGTAATTTAGCTGTCACAAATCTCATGCCATTTACTGTGTAGTAGAAGCTTTCAGCCCTTCCTGGGCCTCACTTCTGTCAGTTTGGTGTAAAATAGACATGAAAACCAGAGGCAGCTGGAGTTAATGACAGCAGCAAGAAGAAGCAGTGGTAAGGAAGCTTGCAGAAACACACCAGCTTGGTGCAATTTAGTAAAAAGGGAAAATGAGTAGTTGATGTCTGTTGTTTAACTTTTTATTTTGAAATAATTCAGATTTATAGAAAAGTTACAAAACAGCCAGGTGTGGTGATTCACGCCTATAATCCCAGCACTTTGGGAGGCCAAGGCGGGAGGATCACTTGAGTCCAGGAGTTTGAGACCAGCCTGGGCAACATAGGGATACCCGTCCTCTACAAAAAATACAAAAGCCAGGCATGGTGGCATGTGCCTGTAGTCCCAGCTACTGAGGAGGCTGAGGTGAGAGGATCACTTGAGTCCAGGAGGTGGAGGCTGCAGGGAGCGCTAATCATGCCTTCCCATTCTAGCCTGGAGTGACAGAGTGAGACCTTATCTCAAAAAAAA